GTATGTATATTTTTCTTAGAATTGGGTCTATGTAATTGTTACTTGATAAACGATGAGGGATTCTCATATCTCGAAAATTTGGAGTTTCTCGAGCGTTTAGATCTGAGCAGAACATGTATAAAAACTCGAACTCTTTGCAAGATACTGCAAAAAAATCCACGAATGCGTCACTTACACATAAGATACACTTGCGAGGTGGACGTAAACGAAGTTGCAGTGGAATTGAAAAACTCGTGTCCAGATTTGGAAAGTATAGATTCATGTACGAACACTTTTACGTCGCGAGGTATTGATGCCCTCGCTGACTGTAAGAATCTACGAGAAGTGGATTTTGGTTGGTGGTACGTGCATGTGTGCATAATTTTTTTACTTTAATACATGTCTTATCATGCGTTTTCTGCAAAATATGAATTTAATATCATTTATGGAATGAAAAATCGAACCTAAGATTCAGCTAACTATAGAATCTGAATTGGCAAATGATGTTTGTTTCTCTTATACTTGAAACAGCTGCGTTTTTTTATTTATGATTGAAGGGCTGTTATAATCATATATCTTTCATTTACAGTGGCGATAAAATGGGCTATGGCGACAACTTCCGTAGGTTGCTTTCCTCCTGTCAATATTTGGAAAAAATTTTTCTGACCTACTTTAAAGGCCTTAACGAACATGATTTGGAAACATTAACGCTGTGTAAAAATTTAAAACAATTAGACTTGTCAGGTACGCCGTCCCTACCCGAGACGTGTCACTTATTTTTCGTGCGCTGTCCCAACCTGGAATTGATTGATCTCAGCTTCTGTAAAAACATTGCCGATTGCACGATTAAGCAGTGGCAACAAAAGTATACACATGTAGCCATCAAAAGGGACGAAAACACCAACGACTACGAGTCGTACTCTGATGAATTTTCAGATTAAAAAACGATATGTATGATTGTGAGAAATTTATTTTTCAAAATACGATAAAGTGTATGTGCTTGCTAAAAGAACAAAGTAGATTTGTTTTATACATTTTATATTTAGACCTATTTTTTTGTATAAACGTAACACATTAAAAATTATATCAATTAGAAAATAAAAATGAATATTTGAGGTAATTTTTTTTAAAATATAATTTTATGATATAATTCGCGTTCTGTTCTATGTTTTTCATTCAAATTACTTTATTAACAAATACATTTTTTTGTCAACTTTATGAATTTAAAGTAAAACTTTATATTTTAATGTATTTTAATACTTCTATTAAATATGTTTATATTTTACATTAATATTTAAATATGTTGCAAATACCCAAGCAAAACACAAGTCATCTTGACGTCAAAATCAAGTCAAAATGGCTTCAAAATGATAATATTGAGTCACTTTTCAATCAGCCATAATTCATTTAAACATCATCGTGATATGTTGTTCTGCTTGGGTATTTGTAGATATAATTTATATCTGATTGAAACATTTTCAGAAACGAGATTTTTTTGTACGTAGTTTTACAATTAACGTTGATATTCATAATAAATAAGATAGAGTATTTTAATAAATTATTTTTCATAAACCATATTTATCCTTAAAAATCTTTATACTTTTTTCATATCTAATCATTTCTACAAGTTTTAGAAGTTTTCTGCACGCGCGCGTGTACATACGTATTATTGTTACTTAAAAAATAATGATTTGTTATATTTTCGTAATATTATACAATATGTTTAATAGATTTTAAATTTATATTATTTAATAATTGATCATTATTAAATGTTGTAATAATAAACATAGAACACTTGAAGCTTATTAAATAACTCGTCTGTAATACTGAGCAAGCTTTTCGTTATATTATTTATTTTTATAGAAGGTTAGATTAATTTATTGCATTCGAATATTATTGTCATTATTATTAATTAAGAGTGCATTTCATTGTTTACTGCTAATACTGAAAATCTATGGTGTGTAATGTTGATATCTAATCAATTCTTTATTATAAGTTGTAATTTTGCATCGTATGTAAATTACAGATCTTTAATACTGCTATGATAACTATTTGAATTAATGTAATCGAGACACCGAGTACAAAATATATTTACAAAATAAAATAAAAATGTTATAAAATTAGACAAAATCATATATATATGTGTATATACATATCATTATTTATGTAACTTAATTTTTTACTTCAAAAAAAAAAGTAATAGGAAACTAAAATAACTACATAAAAGTAACATCAAATTCATTACTGTAAAGTGTAAAATGTAGTAATGTTATCATCACAAGTAGAAATAACGATCGTTATAAAAAAAATTACAAAAATAGTAACGGTTACAAGTAACGCGTTACTTTCATTCTTCTTAATAAAATAGTATATATATTACTTGATAAATTTATTACCGTACATAAATTTAATAGTCTTACATAATTAATTTTTAGATTTTAAAATAATGTATTAATACTTTTATTTTCTTTGTACACAAGATTAAATAACTAAAGAATAACCATAAAATAAAAGCTTTTTAAAGTTTTTTATAAACTCTTATTACAAATCTTTCATACAACATAACTGAAAATAATTGCTTAAAAATACAATTTTTTATCAAGTTTCAATAATAAGCTAATGTAATAACTATTCTAAGTAAAAATAATATACTAATTGACATACTCCAGCCTCTTCAGAAATTAAATGATTTATTATTAAAGTTACTTAAACGAACAAATTTTAATATTTGCAAACACGAAATCATATAAAAAAATAATAAACCAGCAAATCTAAATATTCATTCACAAACTTCTGTTGCTAACATATTCGATAATGTAATAGTAAATATAGTAACATTGTTTCACTTAACTTTTTTGTAGGTCATAGACCAGTTAAAAATAAAATATCATTACACAAACTAAATCTTTCAATATAAAATATGATTACAATAATGCAAGCGATATGCATATTTTAGTTTTTTGGATACTTTGTGCGTGTATTATATCCAAAGATATGCTAATAAAATTTTATTCTTGCACTTTAGTAATGATCTTTTATTTTTAATGTTTTTTAAAATCTCAAATTTACAAATGTCCACAAGGTGGGAAAATATTATTAATATCTATTATTTTCTTCTTTAGTTTCTTTAGTTTAAGTTGTAATTTTGCATTCTCTCTTAAGTAGAATGTGTCTGTCATTTCTTCCGTGGATGTTTGTGAGACATAATGTATAGGACATAATGCTACAGCCTTGTCAAATAATCTTATTGCTTTTTCCAGCTTTCCTCTGAAAAAAGAAATGGATTCAGAATATTTTCATTAACATATATGTTTGCAACTGGCTCATTTTCAAAATACAAACATATTCTCGTTCCCCGATTTATGCGGAATATTTGTTTCACGCGGTCATTTATGCGGAGAATCGAGTAAATGAAGTCAGAAAAAATACGTAAGGGAAGAGCTCATGTATGTTGTAAACATTTTTATTTTCCATATTTGTACGAAAACAAAGATAAAAGTAAACTGATGAATACCGCGCATAAAAATATCACATAAATCGAGGGATGAGTGAACAATTAGAAAATCACATTAAAAACATACTCTTGTACTGCGATACGTCCTAACAGTACATGTACTAGCTCGCATTTCTCATCCAAATCTAATGCTTTGTTTAAATGTTCCTTAGCTTTCTCAATGTCATCCCAAAGCAATAGCAGTTCGGCTCTGTGCGCATGGATAAGTGCGTTCTCTGGATCTTTCTCTATTGCTTTAACGAGATAAGTGTCAGCGTCTTCGTACTGTTTATTTTGAATCAGTATCTATAATTGAAAATTTCCACCAATGAATCAAAATGTGTACAGCACAATGGTAATAATTTATCACTCAATTATTTCTTTTCAATTCCAATTATTTTTCTTAAGAAATTATAAGTAAATGTATGTACGTACCTCAGCGTACATTGTATAACAATATGCACGTCCAGAAGAATTTGGATACTTTTCAAAGGCTCTTGCAACTTCTTCAGCTAATACATTTGTACTGAAAAGATTACATTTTTCTTTCATATGATACTCAAAGTAATATTTTTGCATATATCCAATGCAGAAGTTTGGATCATATTCAATGGCCTTGTCAAAATTGTGCTTGGCTTCGTCGAATTTGTTCATTGTCAAGTATGCCTGAAATAATATTGTTATCGTATTTTATGTTATTTTATGTACATCCATATATGCGTGCAACAAGTGTGAGATGTGTTCAATGTTAATATGCGTATAATACCGCTCCTCTGAAGTAGTAGATCTCACTATAACTTGGATTCATATTAATGGCTAATTCAAAATCTTTAAAAGCCATTTCCAAGTTTTCGAGATTCGTGTATAAGGCTGCTCTCTTTATTAGGGCGTTTGTCTTCACGTCATCGGATGCGTCTTCGCTACTCAATATTCTTTCAAAATCTTGGATTGCAGAATCGTACTTTCCCAACAATACGTAAAATGTAGCTCGTAACAATAGCACCTCTAGTTTAGTTGAAGGTAAGGTATCAAATTCGGGTTTTTTAATGATTTTCGTGCACAACGGTATTATATCATCGTATTTCTTGTCTTTTAACGCTCGTAGTGGCTTCCTGAGAAATCTGATAACAAATATTACATTAAAAAATAAAACGTCAATTGTCAGAAACTTCTGTCTATACTTACTCTGGAATATTTTCTGGTTTTTGAAGTCTCGAAAATACTGGATCATTAGGGAAGGATGAAGTGTACTTTCTGATGAACTCTTTACTTGGCATTATAAATTTTTTGTTTGTCAAATTTTCCTGGACAAATTGTTTTACTGGAAAACATTTTTATTTTAAGTTACTAAATTTCTTCCCGGTTCTTGCTTCTTAATTCTTGTTCAAGCTTGCAGTAAATAGCATTTTATGTAATACCAAATACTTTTGTAGCTCACCAAGTTTTTTCAAGATCTTGCTTGCCATGGCATTACAAGTTTGATTAGAAAAATTCTCGTTGGTGCACACGGTAGTCACATCGTCCCAGGCGGCTTCCAAGTCCCCTAATTGCTTTGAAGCACGTGCCCGACGTAGCAAAGCTTTCATATATCTTGGATTTAATTCTAACGCTTTTGTACAATCTGCCCTTACATCACTATATTTTTTCTGCAAATTGCAATTAAAACTGTGTAAACAGTGACCCTTGTATGACTCGATTTCAATGATCAATTTTGAAGTCAAACTTTCATATTATGTTTATTATTAGTGTCATCAATTTTATTACCAATTGCTCATTCACAGCCGCTCTATTTTGATAAAAAGTCGCGGTCTCCTTCATTCTCGGACAAATGTCGATTGCTTTATTATACTGAGCAATAGCTTCATCATATTTTCCCTCTATGAAATACACATTTCCTGTATTTTTAAACTCCAGCGCCCTTTGTAAAGGAGTCTAGAACAAAAGAGTTGCTTAAGTCATGAAGTACTATATCTTCTGAAATTATAACTTATAAATATACATGGGTGGAAGAGCTAATGTAAAAGATTGAATGGGATGATTTCTCACATAAATTTAAGACAAAAACTTTATTTGAATATCCGAAATGGTTCAGTTTCAAACATACATTTCAAATTTTAAGAAAAAAATTTTTTTTCCAAAAATTTTGAAAATCACTCGGATTATTTTAATAATGCTTTATGTATGTTTCAAGTTTTATCAAAATAACCTGAGCAGTTTTCGAAATTTTTGGAAAAAAGCGAAATTTTTCCCTCAACTTTGACTCGTAACATTTACTTTATACAAAAATTGTATACTTTTTTTCATATAAAAAACTCAGTCTGCGCTATGAAATTATACGAAAGACCAGCACTGTGCTTTTAGAATGAGGTTGAATGTTTTATCATAAAAGAAAAATATGCTTAAAAATGTGTACGTTTGCGCGTGCGACATTGCGACTTGGGCTGCGTTCCGTGTTAACGCTCACGTATGTGAGAATGACTTGTTCAACATTTAAGTTACATTCCAAAACGTTGTTTTTGACGAAATTTTACTAAAAAGCTATACAGTTTACGTTACATATGCTACAGTTTTTTAGTAAAATTTTCCTCGAAAGCAAACATTTTGCAATTATATATATTATATATATATTTTTTTTAATATATATATATTTTGCAATTATATATTTTGCATTTTACAATTATGCGTAAACATAATTGTAAGTGGTTGTAGTTGTAAGAATTGATAAATCACAAAATCAAATATAACATATTTTATTGTAATTTTCATCAATTCATACAACTACAATCATTTAAGGAGAATTCACACTTTGACAGAAAAGCAGAAAATAGAAAAGCAGAAACTAATCAGTACTCGCGCTGGTAATCGATAGTTTCTGCTTTCTTGTTAACAGTGCGAGTTCTGATTGGCTTCTGCTTTTCTGGCAAGGTGTGAATTCTCCCTTACGATTACGATTACGCAATTGTAGATTGACTTTAAAACGATCCTGTGATTACTGTAAGATTGGTGCGTGAGCCACAGACTGAAAGCCTTCACACATAAAATCCCGTAAGACGTAAGCGTAAGAAAATCGACCAATCTCCACTCAATTGGGATTGGTCGATTTTCTTATGCTTACGGGCTTTACGGGATTTTATATGTGAAGGCCTTGAAGTGGACGTCTGTGGCCGAGTGATTCTACGTTCTGGAATCTTCGCGACCCTTTAGTATTTCTCTGCTTCCGCATTAGTATTCACTCATCACGTTTTAGTATTGCATCATTCGACTGATGAATTCTGGGCGTATTAACACCCCGTATAGGGGGTCAGTCCCATAAGAAAGAAGAAGTGAGCACTGTAAAGCGCTGTGACTATCGTCCCTCAATTTGATAACAAAAATAAATGTTTCCTTTTTCTTCAATTAGGATAAGAACTAAAAGCATTACTTGATAACAATATTATTATACATACAGACACGTTGATAACAATGAATGCGTATTTTTTTTTTAGATTAAGGGGAAGACCCTTTCCCATACTTTTTCGATGACTCGCTAGTCCTAGAATTTTTCATGTCTATTTTTCTCGATATAAATAATATAGAGGATTCTCCAACTGCAGCGGCAGTTCGTCGAATTCATCAGAAGAATATACCCGTCTTGTAACACGCGAGTAAAGTACTATAATTATTGTAAAATTTATCAAATAGAGTTACTTTTACAAAGTAACAATTCTCGCGAATCTTACAGCGTCAAAAAGCGAATACGAAACGTAGCCTTATACTGTTTACGACTCGCGGAGGGCAAATACGATAATCCAGAGACTCACCATTTTGGGGATCCTTTTAGAAAATTAAGAACGCTGGAGATAGCCTGCACTATCACAAGATGTTCAACAGTTGGCGAAAATAATGGAACAATTAATATTCGACGTATGTATGTACAACGTCATACAACATTCAATTATAGTCGTCAGCGGCACTTAGCTATCTTTGGTCACCCTTTGATTGTTGAGCGGCCGGCGGCGTAGTGATCACTAGTGGTCACTGATCAGTAGTAATACGATACCGAAATTCGAGCGCGAATCCGCCGCGTAATGCGCGCTATTCACTTGTCGGTTGGAAGGGGGAAAAGGAGGGGCGGCACGTGTCTCAAGGGCCTTAAGGTCCATCTACAATGAGAGTAGTAAGTCGTAAGCCGTCTTCTGCTTGA